TGTATATATATATATATATATTCAGTCAAAATTTTCAGTTTTGTCTCTTAGCGGTTTAAGCATTAATGTCTAATTTCGTCATAAAGTGATATTTTGATTAACATCTTTTGTGAGAACTAAGAACTGAATAAGTTTACCTTAATAATACTAATTATGATTAAAACATTCAAAGCTTTCTATAACAGTTTTACCCAACTATAATTTTAAGCAATTCATTACAATTTATCTACAGCTTTTTACCTCATTATTGTTTCAAAATAGCTATATACTTTAGATTTCATATCGTAAATCTGTATTTATATAGTAGTTTTATATGGTAAATAGATTTTTTTCAGTAATAAATGTTATATTGAATTATTTAAATTAATTGCTGATTTAAGAATGTCTTAAGCATCTAATTTTGTCTTAAATATTTTTTTGTGAAATCACTGTATCACAAATTTGAACTTCCTTTCTGTTCTTAATATAGAACTATATGATTATTTATAACGAACAGTGTATAATTCATAAATCAAAGTCAAAATGATATCTCACGTACCATTTTTGCCTAAGAAAAATAGCCAATATCTTAGTGAATTTTTGAATATTTTGCTTCTCAATGCATCTTGACCCTCAAAATGTCGGAAATGTAGAAAAGCCATTTGTTTCAAAGATTGCCAAAATAGACGGTGTTCGCCAAGTTGGCAACTGCCACAGTATCAATGAAAGCTTCTTTCTTGTTCTTGTCAGTTCTTATCATGTGAAGTTAAAAAAACGTCAATTCACTCAGTAATGTTAAAAAAAAAATCTTTCAGTAAAATGTACTCTAATAAAATTAATTATTCTTCAAAATAGCTAACAAAAATGTCATTCCTTTTTAAAAGAACAATTCTTAAAACAAAAATTGCTATTAGAATGGGGTCAAACTTACTAAATAACAAAAACTGTTTTTAAATACAATTGAAAAAAGTTTTAAGAAAAACATTTTTCCAGCAAAAAAATGGATATGTTAAATGTTGCCTTCAAAATCATCTAAATGCAAATTGAAAACAAAATAATCCACGTAAGCGTCTTTTGAGAGAGGAAAATAAATCATCTGTCATTTCATTTCGCGTTCCATTTCGAATTTCTTCAAAAGAAAAACTAAGCCATTACAATTTTTACTTTCAAGATAGACTTTTTAGCTGAAATGTTTCTATTTCTTTTGTTCTAAAAAAACCATTTTATAAATTTTGAAAAAGAAAATATTTCTTCAATTCAATGATTTTTTTCTTATTTGTGGTGACTTTAATGGGCTATTTTATTTTTCATTTTTATGTATTTTCAACTAATTTATTTTCTTTTACTATTTTCGAGATTTAAAATCCGCTAAGTTATTTTTGAAATACATTCGTGTTATTCTAATCAATAAAAGAAAGTATTTAATTTAAGACACAATGCGGCATTAAAAAAATATTTTTTCGATATTAAGATTTTGCTAATATAATATTCTTAGGAAAGATTTCGCCGCAAACTAAACGTCAATTGATTATTTTTAGCTTGTCGTTACACTACTCACTACAGCCGTTTTAAAGTCTATAAGTGAAAATTTTTTTATTATGTCGAAACGTTTGTACCTGTTTAGCAAGCCTGTTAGTTGTTTATTGTACTCAGATAGTACTCCGATAATACTTTTTATTGTACCGAACTCGTTCTTAGGCGGTACTTGTGGATGCAGTATATATGTTAAGTTAAAAGTGATAAATCCGATTATTACTATTTTAGTAATTATTAATAATAGCTGGTTATTATTAATAATGACCAATGAAGTTTGGTAAATGTGATTAAACTGTTTATATAGCATTGGGACATGAGTAAGCCTCCTTGTATATGTGTTACCATTAAGGTTAAAAATCCTATTATAATTAATACAAATCGTCAAAAGTAATATTAACCGCTTCTTTCGGAAAAAGTGAGAAATAAAAACGTGAACTTGTATTGCGTTCGGGCAGAATTACAATGCGGGAGGAAATTTTGAAGATACTGATGAGTATGCAGAAACAGCTTTTAAATTTGTTATTCAGGGAACAACTTATACCGGGCAGTGGTCTTTAATCTAAAAAAAAAAAACATCCGTATAGGGTATACCGGGCAAATGCATTCCGGTACTGTGGCACTTAACTTTAAAAAAATAAAACTCAGTGTAGGGTATACCGGGCAAATGTATTCCGAGAAGTGGCACTTAACATTAAAAAAAATCAGTATGGGTATTCCAGGCAGTGGCACTTGACTTTTAAAAAAACAACAGTGTACGGTATGCCAAATAAATGTATTCCATTCAGTGGCATAAAAGAAAAAAAAAACATTCGAGTAGGAAAAGTTTAATAACATCACTTAAAAAAAAGAAAAAAAAGAAATAGAAATACATAGCTGCTTTGAACTGAAATAATACTTTTTTTTAAAAAACAAATTACTTATTTTGGAAGGAGAAGCAAAACTACTGATACATTTGTAATTACAAAGTGTTTTCGTTACTTTTTGCGTTTGCAACGACTCGAGTTGTACTTGCTTCTACAATTGAATACTGAATACTGAAACTCTTGACCACCCAAATTTGAATCCTTACGAAAACTCTCTTAGACTTATTTCATTCGCTGGAACTTCATTCGCTGAAATAAAACCTACTTTACAAACATTGAAATCATTCCTTGCGTACAGTTGTTTTAAAGTGCCATACCTTGTACAAAATTTACATAAGTTTTCAATTTTACCTATTTCTGTTCTGAGAATGTCTAAATAGTTGTTAAAACGTGATTTCATGTTCTTTATATCGTCATCCATTGCGTCGCTGTAAAATCTGTTAAATTACCTCTCTAGCTGTATTAAATGTTTAGAAGCAGTATTTTTAAATGTTCAAGAAACATTGCTATGAAATGTATTCTTGTTTAGAATTCTGTTCTTCAAAAATATGCATCCAGTAAAGGGCTATTCCCTTTGCCCCCTCGTTGCCATGCTACTGAATTACGAGAGTGTTCTGAGTCATAGACCCAAATTGAAAACTGAAATTTTGAAACAATTTGTATTTTTTAAAGGATTTTTGAAATTTCAGAAACTGCGACTTGTCATTGTTATGCTTTCTGTGGTGAGCGATTCCCTCCTCCCCATCCTTTGCTACATATCACTGAATCACATTACAGTTTTATGTCATTGAAATATATTAACTGCAGAAATTTTGCCAATGTAAACAGTGCGCCGAAAAAATAAAAAAAGACCAACCTGAGTAACTTTGGATCTAAAGATCGGATGTTCACGTTCTAAGGCTCAGTCTCAATGATTCAAGGGGGTGACCTCAAGCCTGCTAATTAATTAATGCAGACGATAATTTCAGTTACGAACTCAGACACAAAAATGTTATCTGAATAGACATGCATTTTTCAACAGATTCGGATTTCTGGCC